TTAACAAAGTTTTTACCTTGATATGTTCACAAATATTTTAAATGATGTGAAAATAAATAAAAATAGAAGCTGCGTGTGGAATGCTGCAATAAGTCATGAAATAGACCAAAAGAACCTACTGCAAAAAAATCATGGATTTTTCTTGGTATCCTCTGAACTTTGACTTTGAGATCACATTTTCTTGCAGAAGCAAGAAGGTACAGCTGGTTATACCTCAAATGACTAGTATGTTCTTCATTATGCATTATGTTTTTCTACAATTTAGAAATCAGTGTTTATCCCTTTCTCATTTCAAATTTGAAATACTTACATCTTGTAAACACAACCAATAAAATGTGTTCAGAGATGCTTCAGTATGTAGATGTGCAGCCTCTCTCATCACTTCATATGGAGTGTTAAAAAACGCTAACAGTAATGAAGAGAAAAACATGACTAATTTTTTATAGCAATAAACTTTATACAACACCAATGATCATTTCCTGGAGCAACAGGTTTGTGACATCCTATTGATGTTACGGCGTTGCCACCATGTGGACATGCATTGAATTACAGCAACAGAAAAAAACGCTCCACTGTTGTGCATGCAAAATCAAAGAGTCGCAAAAGAAAAAGAAAAAAACATCAAATAAGCAAAAACAACAAAATCCATTTTGTCTGTGGATACATTTATAATATGTTCTTTCTTCCATTTTTTCTAATACAGACCTTGAGCATTTCCTTTTATGACCCTGTAGTCACTTGAAGTTTTACATTGTCTTATTTTTAGACTCTGCACGGGAACTTTTCCTGATTCAAATCATAATAATCTTTATTTATCTTGTACTGATCCCTCTAGCTTGGTGTGTAATATTTCTTCGGAGAGCCCTGCATGAAAGACAGACAGACAGAAATAAAAATAGTATGATCTACAAAAAACATCACAGTATTGTTAGAGTTACTACAGTCCCATACTGAAGACCTTAATATGCAGGGTAGTGCAAAATTTTGAGAGCCATAAACAAGTAGATTGAAACTTGAACACAGAATGACACGAAATTTCATGAATTGTGTTAGACATAACCAGTTTGTTTTTTAAAATGCAAGAAGATTCCTTGAGAAACTGCTGGCTTTTGTTGTTTTTTGTGGGATGTATTGGTTTGGTTTTCCTGTTAGGACACAGAGGGCCTGACTGAGGACCTCAGGCTGCATTTTGCCTATGTGTTCTCCCATGTGGCCAACTTTCTTCTGATTACTAGCGCATATGCTGACTTGATTATTTAAAACTTTTGCTGTGTTTACAGTGAACATCCGCCACTGCAACAGTGTACATGACATAAAATAAGAACACACAATAGGCCCACTTTTTAAGTTTGACAGATTCACAGGTATGAAACCGGTCCATCTAGTGAAGATAACATCTTCAGTCCTTGAGACTAAATAATAAGTCGCATACAATTGATTTAGTATTCCAGAAACAAGAAAGACTAACAAAACAAGTGCACATTTTTCTTGAGATTCAACATGGAGAAAAAATTAAAGTAAAATGTGATGAGTAATTTGTTACTTTTGCCACGTGGTGGCGATAGAGTCCAACTTACAGCTGTGGAGCTGTTCATTGAGAGACGATTTGTGATAGACACTACCTCTTTATGCAGCTGTTGAACTGCCTTTTATTAACTTTTGGTTGGGCCTAATATGTTTAAATCAGCAAGACAACAGCAACAACAATAAAAACAAAAGAGACAGTTTGGTACATAGAACGATCACGCAGTTTATGAAAAAAGAAGCCCCAAAGAGGAAGAGACTTTAAACAAAAAAGTGACTCTCAGGGGGACTTGGGTGAATGGTTGCTTATCTCTCAAAACATGTAATCTCATAAGCTATATGGTAATTCTTACAGGAAACCACTGGTTATACATATTTTAGTAGGTTCTTTAGAAACAATTTAAACTTATTAAAGCCAAAGGTTATTCTGGCACACATGTGGTTATTCTAAAATGGTCTGTTTTTTCTTGTAGCGGTACAGCACATTTAAGACTTTCAGGTTTGAACCAATGGATTGTTTCATACATTTGAATACAATTGAAAGTGTTAAAGCAATAATACTAGACATTAATACCGAAAAAGTTAAAATGTTAATATTTTTTTCAAACTTATTCTGAAAGTTTTTTCATAAGTTTCAGAATAAGTAAACTTCATAGAGTTGCCCTTTTGTGGTTTCAGACTAAAATAAGCTTATGCACTTCTTTGTCAGAGCTGACATCTAGTTTCCACTGAGTATTAAGCACAAACTGTGTGAATACCTAGTAGCTTGTTTGTTCTTTTGGTTCAGAACACTCTTTCACAACCACACAAATACATGCCTGATTTCTCATGTGAGGGATAACGTGTGAGCATTTTTTTTCTAATGAACTTCCTTTGGTTTCACAAAGTGCATGGCTTTTCAGTATGAGCACATTTCATTTAAAGCAGGGCAGTGACCAAAGCAAGAATGCAAATCTGATGCCACATGCAAAAAAAATCTGCTGAGGCCACCACTCATGCTATGACCCACACAAATACAAACAAGAACTTCAGAACTAAAGGGTCACTGTACTGCCCTGTAGCATCTAGCTTGAGCATGCTGAGCGATGGCGTTTAAGGTCAAAGATTCAGATAAAGAACATTTAGTTCTTTCCGTTTCCTTGATTAACATGATTCAAGCGTATTCTGCATTTTGAAGTGTGACACAATGGCATACTTGTCCATTACACAACACATTATACTACATGACGCCAGTAGTTAATAATCTAATACAGATCTATTCTATAAAAATAAATACATTTAAAAAATCTTTAATCATAACTTATTTTGGCTAATATTATTTTTGCTATTTTAGTATAATCATGGGTTGGCATTAAGCTATGGTAGCTCTTATAGACCATTGATTCTAAAAGCAGTTAGAAATTCCTAAGCATATAACTTTTGGCTGGCCGGAAGAGAATTTGATGGGAGATTTAAAGACAGAAATCATGAACTGGATTATGCTCTAGTTAAGATCTGAAATATTTCATTTGCATAGTTTCAAAATACGTTCAGCATTGCTTTTATGATTTACTTTCATGCAGTCAGAGTGCTGGCTTTGTGGATCATTTTTTGTGTCATTTAAAATAGAATTTTCAGAACCCCTCCTTCCAAACTTGAAAGATTGCTCACTTCCTGTAATCATATCAGGAGATGCCTCAAACAGCATGAGGTGTATAAAAATGATTTCAAATGGGATTTTCTTATTTCATAAATACTGACTCTAAGTAATAAAAGATTGCAGATGCCTTTTGTCAAAACAGTTCTGACTTGTTGGGGCATGAGGGACCTCCATGGGACTCCTGTGCTGTCTGGAATTTGGACTTTGGCAATAAATCCTCTGTGGACTCTACAGTCAGGGCTTGTTCTGGCACGTCCCAGAGATGCTCTTGGGTTGGGTACTGGAGACCTAGTATTGTGGGTGAGCGTCCTAGGCTTTTGAGTTTCTTTGAGCTGAACAACTGTAGGTGTTTCAAGACTGCTGCTGTCAGGGACAATGTGTCCCACATACTGAGACCATGTCCCACATTCTGAATGAATCATTCTAAATCAACTTAAGTCACAAAGCCACAGAGATGATTAGCAGACAGAACAGCAACCAGTTTCATAGTTACTAGAACAGAAAGAGAAGAGGTGACTGTAAGAAGACTATAGAATAAAACCATAACGACAGACATCAGCAACTGTTTATACTTTCTGTATTTCACCTACTGAGTGTGAGGAATTACAGTAATGGCAGTTACTGTCTCACCATGATTGAGTTTAAGTGTCCTGAGGGAGTTGGCTGGTTTAGACCTAGTTTTTCTTTTTGTCTACTTTTAGTTGAGTTTTTATTAGTTTCAGTGTTAGTTTCATTATTTGGGGTTGAAACCCAAGGCTTTCCAGAATGGGCAAGTTTGGGAAAACCAGTATAGATATTACCATAAAAACAGAACTTTTTGAAAGCAGTGACTCACAGCCTTGTAGACATCCAAAGTCTGACGATATAAGTTTTTCAAAGCCTAATCAGGCAAATTTTTAGAAAGTTTTACCACACTAACAAATGCTAGAACTAAGGATATTTTCTCCGTATTTTATTTAAGTTAGTTTGTAAAGTTTCGGTTATCTTTAATTTTTTCCATTTTTTTTAAATAATTATTTTATATGAGAACTTTTTTTTTTAAAATTAACTATAATAACATTGCATCAAACCGCCTTTTGGTATCTGTCACATAATGCACAAACATATTCTTTGCCTCAAATTTTACTTGTTTCTATGCCTATCTGGTCACTCTGCCTGTCATTGGTGTCAATGTTGGTGTGCGTTCACTAAGCTGATGTTATTGCTTGTATCCCAGTGCGCATACCATTTAGGTCAGGGTTGTCAAACAGAAGGCATTTGTAACTATATCTTCATAAGTTTTACAGCTTGTCCTATTGATTGCCATTGCCCACACCAAACCAAAGTATTAAGAAATAGATAAACAATTAAATGAAGGAAAAGTTTCTGTTTTTAAACTATGCTCTATAGAAATGTCTTCATTTTCTATGAATTAACATAAACTTGTTGTAAATGTTTCATAAACAGTCTGGACAATGCACTACCAGTAATTTTATACATTTGTCATATGGAAGAACAGAGTTATTTTTCTTATATTAAGACAAGTCAGGTATGAAATGTTTAGTTAAGCCTTTACAGTGACAGAAAGGAAATGTTCCTGGGTTGTGTGTGGCCCACAAAGTACACTGACTTTAACAGCCTTGATTTAAGTTATTTGGGGGTATAAGATGTTGCCTAATGCAGAAACATACACAAAATAATTCAGCTGAGAAAAATATGTAAAATGAAACTAAAACCTCTAAGTTCTTCCCATCTAGAGACGGGTGTCCATACTCCCTGACCTTTGGTATCACGCTGGTCCCCCAGCACGGGAATTTAGACAACATTACCCACAGTGCAGTGCAAGCCGCACCTTCGCCGGGTGGAGCTTGTGAACGTGGGAACGTTGGTGGGCTGCTGCTGTTGCTGCTGGAGTGAAAATTGTTTGACAGGGAGGTGAGGCGACCTGTGCACGGGGGACTCGCAGGAGAAGTTAGTTTTTACCGTGGCGTTAGCCAGCTTTTTGAGTCAGCGGGAAGGCGAGACTCGGGGGCGACAAATGGTTCCTTCGCGTGTAAGCAACAGGGCTCAGAGCGAAATGTCAGGCACTGTTTCAGCCTTGAGCAGCGGGAAGCGCGACTAGTACACCGCAACGCGGAAAATATTCAGAGGGGAGAGAGAATGCGAATGGTGCGAAGATACCGAAATCAAACAAAATGGAAACGATGTAGCGTCGCTGCGGCATTTCATATAGCTAGAACTAACGTTAGAGTAGAGAATAGATAGCCAAGGAGCTAGCACGTTTACTAACATACATGTAAAGTTATTCACCAGAGAAACTGAAGCAGAGCCCGGAGGCGTCTGTTGAATCTGAAGAGTTCATCAGCATTGTGAAATTAAAGGAAAAAAAGATGCTACGGAGAAGACTGAACCGTTGGGTATGTGTGCCTGACACACACACACACACACACACACACACACACACACACACACACACACACACACACACGCGGTTAGCTTATGACGTCCAGCTGCCACTGCTAGCGTTTAACCGCTGTGGTTTTGCTTCCCCTCCCCAAATAAAAATGAAGTGCTGAGCGTGCCCTTGCGTGATGTATTTCCCCTTTGCTGTCTTCGTTGTAATTGCGATTGAATCCACACACATTGCAACAAACAGTTTTCCTCACACCGCCAGATAACACGAACCAGCTGTTGTCTCACTTCACGGCTCTCGTTAGTCAAGCAGCTGGTTGTTAGGTAAGTTCTTACCAGCCAGGAAGTCACGACAGATGCAAGTTAGCATTAACGGGGAGTCAACTGCACTTTTAGTGCACGTTTTGCAGTGATAAAGGGAAGTACAGTCTGTCGTCATCCTAAGCAACAATATTATTATCGCCATTAACACTTTCAACAATACAGTGATGATAATGAAACCTTTTAAAATGGTTTTCAAGTTCTAAAAAAGCAAAAAAAAATATGACAGAAATGCAAAATGGGGAAAAAAAATAGAATAAATAACAATGCACAAGAGCAATAATATCAGTAAACACCTGGAAACTACAGCTCGATTGAGAAGACACCTATGCCCAGGGAAATGTTTCTATTCTCTGGGCTCCAAAAATTTATTCACTTGTAAGTCAAAACATAATCTATCAAACCAGGTGTGCCACCTTGTGTTGTCTTTATGGTCCATATCTGTTGACTCAGTATTGATTAGTGAAAACAACTATTTCATCCATTCAGTTAATATAAATGCTATGAATGTCACTTGATGCAGGTTCTTAAATTTTGAACATAGAAAATTGGTTATATATATTGTACATACAGTGGGTAATTTATACTGTTAGTCTTAGTGTAAGTGAAACGACACATCTGTTATTTGAAATCAATTTAACCAGATCATGAATGCATATTTGTCCTCAGGAAGCATAATCGCACAGTCCCTGCTATGTGCTTGGCCATAAACATTTTTTTCAGTGGTGGAAGGTGGTGTTTTGCCAACATTAATCGCTTAGGCATGATATTTCATAATTGGTGAAATAAATGCTTGCCTCTTTAAAGTTCATCCACTGGTTTCATTGCCCTTCTCATCGGTTAATCATGAGTGGGCTAGTTGAAAGTGGAGTATCTGCGTTTATAAATGCTACACCGCCTTTACTGCCTCTTTATCCACTTCTTATGCACCAGTAACCTGTTGTCACCACTGAGCTGAATCCCTCACACGCTGTGTGAGCAGTATAGACACCGAGAGTGAATAGGGAGAAGCAATATAATAATTATAGTTCCTGACCCTCCTCCTGGCCTCTCTCTAAGTGTTGCCAGGTCAGCTGGTTTTCCTGCTTGAGGAGAGGATTGCTGCTGTAATTTCTCTTCAGTGTGAGCTGTAAATAATATTTTGTGCAGGGCAGCCAGCCACACTATCATTGATGCATGCAGTGCTGGTATCTGAGGCTCTGGCTCTCTGCCTCCTGATTTTTCTCTGCCACCCTCCCCTTGCCCACGGGAGGTACACGTGCATCATGAAGAGGGAGAAAGATGGAGAGGAGGGAGAGTGACCAAAAAGGCACAGTGGAAGCCTCGTGTGTTTACTTGACTCTCACACTATGATGTGCCGTGCCACTAAACCCGGAGTGTTTAGAAAATCATTAAAGATGGCTGTGGGAACGAGGGGGCTTTTCATGAGTAGGGAAGCTCCAGAGGTTGTAATGCTCTTGACAGGAATGCAAAATCACACAGTTGCCTTTGATGTTCATTCAAGCCCTTGAAGGCAGCAGTGTGATCTGTGCGAGGTGGAGCCTGGCAAAAATGTGATAGTATTATTGTGGAAGCCCTGCCTTGTGTTCAAGGAGAACAGTGCAAGCAAATAAAAACAACATCGCCCATGCAGCACCTCAGTTTCCTTTCCTTTTGCACCATGGTAACTACTAGATCTCCTCCTACTCAGTAGCTCGGTTAAAAACCCCGCACGTGAAGTTTCAGTCCTTTATTTGGATTATGTTACAGTGCTGTAGAAAATATTTCTTCTGCTCAGTGGTGAAGTACACCGAGGCCTCATGTGATGCAGTCACCAGT